TTAATTATGATATTAGAATAGACAAAATTCCGAGGCCTCATTTCGGCCCCGATTGTATGCCATCAAAATGCCGCGGCGAGGTCTGTTTCCGCGATCCCCCTACGCGGCAGGCCAAAACGGTCTCAGTCCTCTAAGCGACCGGAAACGACGGTCTCTAGTTGTGCTCAGTGCACCCATCCATCTTGCTGTCTTTGGGGGTTACTCTTAAAATCTAGTGCGTCCAGAATCAGGGGTACCCTGAGTTCTCATAATTCCTGCAGCCCGGTCATCCCAAAGCACTTGTCAAAACGCGGACTTAACCCTGAGCCTAAACCCCTAAACTGCCGTTTTCAGGCGGCGCACTACTTGTGGCCGCCTGACACCGGCGCACAGTCAGCTGTGCCTCTTTCTCCAAGACCTGCGCCGACTAACTCAGCCATGGCACAAGCCTCTGCTCCTCGATCGCCTCGCCGCCAAAACGGTGGCGCACCACTCGTCCGCTTGACTGACATTGCCTTGTATGACGGTACAGGCATACGCGTGTCCCGGTGGCTAGTCTGCCACCCGCACCCTCCAGCTCATGGGCGCCCCACCTGACACGTGGGTGGGTCATCTCTCCACGCGCCTGCGTGGCGGTCTTTTTGACGCCTGGGAGGATTTCTACGCTTACTCCCTTTACGCAGGTCGGACTCCGCCCTTTATGGATTTCCAGACGTTCCTCGAGGATCGCTTCGGAGCCCGACATGACGTGACTAACGCCTTCGTGCGTGTCGTCACTACACGCTGGTCCGACTCTGGTGGCGCTGCCGGCCTAGATCGCCACATCCAGGTCTTTCGGGACGCCCGCCTCATTTGTGACGTGGCGTTCCTCCCCGAGGCTTCCCTTATCGATCGTTTCTTGGCCAGCCTTCCACTCGAGTACCATTCCGAGTTATGGCGGTACGAGTTCACATCGGCCTCGCTGGCTTACGAGGCCGCCAGGCCTCCTCCTCCTCTCACGACACTTCCCAACGTCGTTCCCCTTTCCGCGGTCGCCCCCGCCGTTCCGCTCAGCAGGGCCGCCACTTCTCGCGCCGCTTCAGCGCGTTAGAGTATGGTGAGCAGGGCACTGTTGCCCCGGTGTCGCCCGAGGGTGACCATAGCGACGACCTCGACCCCGGCGAGGCCGTCCACTACCACCTGGAGGACTCTACTCTACCTATGGCCGAGCGCCTCTAGCTCATCCTCTCCGCCCTCTCCCGGGCACGCAGCCGTGCCGGTCACGCTGGCGCGTCGCCCCCCGAGATTCCTCAGCAGGACCTCCCTCAGGGTTTTGTCCCTCCTCGCGGTGTTCTTTCCGCTGAGGAGCGCGCGGCCATTTTGGGCCGGCGTGGGTGTTTGCGATGCCGCCAGGACGGTCATACCTCCTCGCGGTGCCCTTACACTACCGCCCTCGACCGCCACTACGCTGACCTTTCCCGCCAGCGTCGTGCTCAGTCCCCCCCCGACGCCTCGCATCCCTGCGGTGCCTCCTAGCCACGGTGCAGTGTACACCTACGCCCTCCTCAGTAGTCGACTTCCCGACATCCCCGTCGCGGTTTGCCCCTCACTACTGGAGTTGAAGTCTCGCAGGACCCGACAGAGTGTACTCAGCCCTCTGACGCAGTACCGTCTACGCCTCTGCAGACCACTATCTCCCCTCCTACCCCGCCGCTACTACCGACGTGTCGAGCCATTCGCTCAGCCCGTTGCAGCGAGCAGCTCGCTACTCGCGAGGACATTGTGTCCTCTCTTCTGGACTTGAGCATGCTCCAGGTTCGTCAGGAGCGACTCACCCTCCATGTCGCTGCACTGCGTTGCCTTCTCACCATCCTCTCTGACCCTGATCGCACCCTCCCGATCATCCCCGTACGACTCGGGACCTCCACGAGGGTGCACTCAGTGCTGTGGGATTCCGGTTCTCAGGGCGACTTCATTCACCCACGTGTGGTGAAAGAAGCCCGCTTACCCACGACCGGGTCTCGACTCCCATCTCTATCACCCTAGGGGATGACAAGACCCAACGCTTCTTCGATCAAACGGTCACCGACCTCCCTTTCTTCCTCGCTCTCGAGCCGACTCATCGTCCCCCGGCGTCTCGTCGCCACCGCTCCACTGCACATTTCAATGTGATGGAGACGGTGTATGATTTCATTCTCGGCACTCCGTGGTCTCGTCGGTTCCGCAGCACCGAGGCCGATTGGGCGACCAACACTCTCGTTCTCAAAACGAAGTGTGGACAGACTTATCGCGTACGTTTCATAGGTACCACTGCGACACCACTCCCCGATCCTCCTCCCCCGAAGCCTTCTGTGCGCACACCATCTCCTTCTATCACTATCACCTCGCCTCGACAGTTTGCCCACTTCATCTGACAGGACGACGTCACCTTCTTTATAGTGAACGTGACGGATCTCTTACACTATGATCCACCCTGTCCCGACGCCGAGCTCATCCCTCTGGAGCCAGATCCTACTTCTATCTCCATGGCTCCCATCTCTACTTCCTTCCCTCCGTCGTCCGTCGAGTCCACCCCGCCGCCGCGCGCTGACGTTGATGCTGAGGAACTCGCACGCTATACGGCAGACTTGGAACCGGCAGTTCGTGATCTCATTCGAGAGTACCACGACGTTTTCCCATCGTCGTTCTCGTACGCCGACATCCCACCAATACGCGACGTCGAGCACTCCATCCAACTTGTGCCTGACTATCGTGTTCACCACCAGGCACCCTACAGACTCTCGATCCCTGAGGCCACTGAACTCAAGCGTCAGCTTGAGGAGCTCCTGAGACTGGGTTTCATTAAACCCAGCAACTCCCCGTGGGGTGCACCCGTCCTCTTTGCTCGCAAAGCGGATGGAACTCTCCGTCTTTGCATCGACTATCGCAGTCTCAACCGCTACACGGTTAAGAACAGCTACCCCATGTCTCGTTCCGATGAGCTGTTCGACCGCCTAGCAGGCAACCGCTTCTTTACGGAGATTGATCTTCGTAGTGGTTACCATCAGATCCGCGTCGCCACACCGTTCCGATCGCGCTTCGGCCACTATGAGTTTACGGTGATGCCATTCGGCCTCACCAACACACCCGCTACCTTCCAGAGGGCGATGAACGACATCTTCTGGGACATCTAGGAGCAGTACGTTGTCATCTACCTCGACGATATACTGGTCTACAGTTGTACCCTTGAGGAGCACCTCAGACACCTCCGCTACGTCCTTGACCGCTTGCGCAGACATGGCTTCTATGCCAAGTTGAGCAAGTGCCGCTTTGCCCAGCACAAAGTGGATTTCTTAGGACACTACGTGTCTGACCAGGGTCTCCACATGGAYGACGCGAAGATCACTGCTATTGCGAAGTGGCCCGTCCCCACATCCGCCAAGCAGCTTCGCAACTTCCTAGGCCTTACCAGCTACTATAGTAATTTCATCCAGGGATACGCTAGGTATTCCTACGTCCTTACCTCCACCCTCCTCTGGAAGAACCCGCCCTGGGCTTGGACACCCCTCCACGAGGACGCCTTCCGCGCCCTCAAGAAGGCGGTGACATGTGCACCGGTTCTTCACCTACCCGATTTTGATCGCCCTTTTATCCTTACCACCGATGCGTCAGACTTTGTCGTAGGAGCAGTGCTTTCTCAGATTTTCCCCTCCCCTCCTGATTCCTCTCATTCTCGTATCCCTCGCTTCCCAACCCCTACCCCTACCACTGCTCCCCGACTGACGCCTACTCATCCATCTACTGACGAGCCTTCTATTGACTATTCTCCTACCATTGCCGAGGATGGCACTGTCGAGTCTTGCTCAGGTGATTGTCTGATAGCCTTCTACTCCCGTCAACTTCTGTCCGCCGAGATAAACTACACCGCTGATGAACGTGAGGTTCTCGCAGTAGTTTATGCCGCTCGGCACTGGCGTCACTACCTGCACGGGGCACCATTCACAGTGCGCACGGACAACTTTGTTGTCCAGGCTTTTCTGACAAAACCGAAGCTCCCTCCTCGACAGGCTCGCTGGTGGCGCGACCTATCCGAGTTTAGTTTCACCACTGAGCACATCAAGGGTGAGACTAATCGGGTCGCAGATGCCTTATCCCAGCGCCCTGACCACGACCAGGAGCAGATCCAACTCTCTTCCATCTCGGTCACCACCGTCCACCACTCGGTGATCGACGAGTTTCGCACTTCGTGTCACCACTGCCCCGACTATCGCGACATCCACGTGACCCTTCAGAGTGGCAAGACCGTCCCGAACTACTCTCTCGGGGACAACGGTCTTGTGTACTGGCACGGTTCACAAGGCACCAGAGAGCCCCGTATTTGCGTTCCCTCCACTGGCCAGCTACGTGTCCGAGCAGTAGCAGAGTTCCATGACCAGGCAGCCGCCGGTCATATGGGTTTCCACAAGACGTTGGCTCGTGTGAGCCGCCTGTACGTCTGGCCGAAGCACAAGGACTTTGTGAAGGACTACGTCGCAGAGTGTCCGACCTGTCAGGAGGTGAACAGTGCGAACCACCTTCCTTATGGTTTGCTCCAGCCTCTTCCTATCCCTGAGGGTCATTGGCAGTCCATCTCGATGGACTTTATCGGTCCTCTTCGTCCTCCGACCCCTCGCGGTCATGATGCTATCCTGGTCGTCGTCGACCGCTTCACGAAGCGTGCACGCTTTGTTCCGTGCCGCTATGCCATCAGTGCACGTGAGGTCGCCGACATCATGTTTGACCGAGTCGTGCGTGAGCACGGCTTACCTCTGAGCATCATATCTGGCCGTGACCCGCGCTTTACCAGCCGATTCTGGTGACGGCTCCATGAGGTATACGGCACCCAGCTCCGCTTCTCCTCGCCTTACCATCCTCAGACTGATGGTCAGACCGAGGTCACGAACAAGATTCTTGGAGATATTCTCCGAAAGATCGTTCGTGACGACCAGCAGTGGGATCTCCATCTTGCCCACGCGGAGATAGCCTACAACCACGCCGTTTTGCCAGCCACGAGGATGTCGCCTTACTATTGCGACCTCGACTATCACCCTTGTGTTCCCGCGGACTTCCTTCGACCGTCACAGATGCACCCCGACACGAGTTGTCCCACGGTGGACGATTGGGTTGCACACATGACGTCGATCATGAAGACCGCACATGAGCAAATAGCCGCTTCCCAGACTCACATGGCAGCACGTGCAAACCGATCGAGGATGGATCATCCATTCAAAGTCGGTGATGATGTGCTTATCGACGCCCGCCACTTACAGCTCGAAGTGGACAAGCTTCGCAAGTTTCGGCGTCGCTTCTTTGGCCCATGCCGCATCCTCCAGGCCGTCGGTTCTGATACGGCTTCTAGCCTGGTCAGCTTCCGTGTGAAGCTGCCCGACTACTTGCGCCAGGCCCGTGTGCACGATGTCTACCACGTCTCGTTACTGCGTCCTTACCGCAGACCGTCTGAGCGTTTCGCTGGACGACCATACGAGCGCCCCCCACCCATCATGGTGGACGACCACGAGGAGTTCCTCGTTTCAGACATCATTGGTCGCCGAGTCACCGACGACAACCTCCTCACGTCGAGTATCTCGTACGTTGGAAGGGTTACCCTGATGAGGAGGCTACCTCGGAGCCCCTCGAGCACTTGCAGCACGCTCGCATGTTGGTGCGTGCCTATGACCGTGCTCGTCGTGCTGGGTTTACTGCTCCTCCTCATCCCACTGACCCTCCTTCTCCCTCGGTTGAGGAGACCGCTGAAGTCAAGCCTGCTCCATCTGAGGCAAACCTTCAGCAGCAGCCGGATGCTTCTGAGCGGCCACAACGCACTCGTCGTCGTCCTACTCGATACGACGATTGACTCTGACTTACCTTTCCACGTCTTTGACTTCTCAGTACTCCATCCACATCAGTTTTGCTACTTGAGCTTGTCGACGTTGTGGCTCTTCCTCGACGACATTCCGGACTTCTCATCATGGACGTCATCGGCAGCTTCTCGTCACGATCAGCTCTGCCTACTTCAGACGTCATCACTCTCTTACCACCTTACCCTGTACAGTACCCTGGTTGTGTCGCATGATGGTCTCCCTTTAGTCGGGTTCCTCATAGTTGGGCTCTCCCTTGGTATACGCATAGGCATCAGGACCGTAGCGTTGCCCTGGCTTCCCATCTTACGAATCTAGCTCCGACTTCCCTCACTTTAGGAGTCATTTGCATGATTCCCTAACTCATCACCTTTCTACCCTCTGCGGCCCTCACGCCCTAGCTAGGCAGCCTTGCATGCTTCATCTAGGTGCGCCCAGTATACCAGGCTCCTCCATAGTGGTCACCCGTTTAGTCGAGCATTACCCGCCCTGATGGTCTATCTGTTAGGGTCATTGGTTCTGTTCGCTCCTTGTTCCCTACCCTCATTGAGCCTGATGACATGTGTCACCCTGTCACTATGTGTGGATGCCCTTAGGAGTTATTGACCCCTAGGTTGTATTCGCCACCCTCAGAGACCATCCCACCCTTTGGTTTGCGACACACTCCTGTGACATATGGTTGACTTGTTGTGCTCTGTGCTCTCAGACTGAGGCTATTTCCTCTGACATTTCTAGGATTTAGTTGTTCTGCTTTTGTTGTTCTTAGGACTTATATACTACTCAACTGTTTTCAGACTGAGGCTACTACCTCCAACATTCTAGGACCTAGTTGTCATTACTTCCTGCTTTCCTATGACATGTATGCTAGTTAGTTGCTTTGCTTTCACTTGGGCTGTTAGTCGTGACATTGCTGATTTGGTGACATTTTCTATTATAGGTTGCATCGCATGAACTCAGCATGGAGCTTGCTCCGCATCCTTGACTACTCAGGTTTTGTTTTTTCTTTGGTAGAGTTCCGCTTCTTGGCGGAAGCGTGCTTGTATCTAGGCGATCCATCACAAGCCGAGGATCGTGTAGCGGACCTCTGGTTGGCCTGTGAGACCAGCCCCTTGGCCTGTTCTCACAGGCCTGTGTTTTATTTGGGGCAGTCCAGTCCAAGCCGGTACCTCTATTGGTACCAGTCAGTCCAGTCTGGTCCCGTCAGTCCGCTGGGGTATACCCCAGTTGTTGTCTGTATTCTGCCTTATTCTGCATTCACACATTTTGGAGTACGTGCGTTGGAGTCTGGCGTGGGAGCTTCGCTGTGCCATCTCGCTCCCCCTTCTTCCTCCATCTCCATCTCTATCCCTGGTGGAGCACCACACCCGAT